ACAGCACCGCTGCTGCGGCGAGCATTGACGGTTCGCAGACAGCAGAGGACATGAAGGTGGATTTTATGGATCCAGTCGAAAAGCAGGCACAGGAGACGCTTCTCAAGAACATGGACAAGGTGCACCGCTTCGTGGGTGCGAACGCGGTGTCTGATCTGAAAAAGACTGTGCCTGGCTACCTGACCCCGCAGCAGCGTACATGCTTCCTGCTGGATTCACCAACCAGCAGAGCCAAAGTTGGCTCGAGCTTTGTGCAAGTTGTCAAGGAGGTGGTTGACAACAACAAGCTCAGCCAGTTCAGCATCGCGGTTCTTTGCGGGTGCCGATTGGACTACATGAGTGTGCTTCAGGCGAAACTGGCTGCGACGTTTCCGAGTGCCTGCATCTTCGTGACTGCGCTCACTGCTGGAGCTGATGTTCAAAGTGACAAAAGGCGCATGAATTTCGCCTTAGTGCTTCACCAAGGCACAACTGACTTGCCGGCAACGCCTACCATGGTGCCTGCGCTGAGAGGGCGTGCCAAAGCCTGGGAAGGCATTCGCCTTCGGTGCCTGAGTTTGAGTTGCCCCCTTCGTGACTTAAAGGAACATGAAAGGGCAAAGCAGGTGTCTGAGGACTCGAAGGTGCCTGTGAAGCCGGGTGATACCCGCGCAGATCCCACAAAGTGCGAGCTTGATCCGGATGATTGTGAAGGGCAGGGGCAGGACGAGGCGATGAGTGAAGAAGAGGACACGGATCCTGCGCCACTCAACCTGGGTGCCTCGTTCCAACAGCGTGACTTCTTGGTGGACCTCTTTACCTTTGCCAAGAGCGCCTCCTTCTACACGCCTATCCTTCAGTGCCTGCTGTGTGTGTCTCGGTCCGTGACGACGGTCATCTTGACAACCACGGCACACCCAGGCTCCAGCGTGGCTGCGCGGTTGCTTGGTCAAGAGGTCTTCGCGTGTCTGCCAACTGTGACTTCGCATGCGTCCTTGCATGGCATGAAGTTGCAGGAGGAGATGTTTTACCGGAGTGCGTTGGCTGAAGCCCGCGTGACTGCGGATGCCGGGGACCGCAAACGCTCCCATGTGTCTGCAGCCATCCAGTTGATTGAAGGAGGTTGCGTGCCTGACAGTGATGTGTTTGACTTGACTGATGTCGAACCCCCGGAGACTGATTCCTTTGCGGGCCTGGACGTCTTTCACGGTGCTTTGGATACGAGAGTTCCGTTGCTACTACAGAAGGAACTCAGTGACTCCAACCTGTGCCTGGACTTGCACCAGTCCTTTGGGCGTGGCTTGGTGACTGGTAAGCCGTTGGCCGAGGGTGAAATCATATGCACCGCTACGGCGGCCAAGTTCACCTGTTACGAGGCCTTGGCGAAGTTCCTGCGCTTGCCTGGGCATGGTTTCCTCGCTGACGGTGTGGTCAAGGTTGACAATGCCAGAGTGAAGGGATCACGTGCCTCCGTGTACTGTGTCTTGCTGGGTGCTGCTAGATACGTGCAACACTTTCAAGGCCGGGAGGGAACAAGGGAAGCGGGTTGTGTTGCTCTTTTGCATGTGTGTCTGGCCAGGCATTCGCAAGCAGCCGAACTGTGCCTGGCAAGTGGACAGTGCCTGCGGAAGTGGCAGTGGCTACCTCAAGCTTGTGGCCCCTTGGTCCAAGCTTGTTCATGTGATGTCTGCAACAAACAGCCCGTTGCTTGTATAGCTTTCGTTTGATTTGAACTGGAGGTTCGCACCCACAACGGTGCAGGCGTGGCTCGCAACAGTCAACTGTGCACCAACTACGGTTTGGCGTTCGACTTCGCCCAAGCCGCAGAGATGTTTGAAGACGATCGTGTCAAACGATTCCGTGGTGCACTTGACGCCGTTCTTTCCAAGAGCCAAAGCCAGGCAGGGAATCCAAGTTGCACAGTTCTAGCCAGTGGTCACAAGTAATTAAATTTTTCTGTGCAACGTGACTTGTCTTAAGAAGGTGGCTACGTCTTCGCCAGCACCACCTGCAGTGCCTGCAGTGCCTGCAGTTGTGACTGCGCCACCAGCCCCTGTTCAAGCCAACCCGAAGCCACCTGTCCCTGCCGCAACTCCTGCGCCTGTGCCCACACCTCCTGTGCCTGCGCCTGCACCTCCTGTGCCTGCGCCTGCACCTCCTGTGGTGCCTGCACTTGACGAAAAAGCGAAGCAGCCAGCCCCAGTGACTGCAAACCAGAAGAGCGACAGCGAGGCCGGGGTGGTCACGAATCAATGTGCATGTTTGTGCCATTGATTGTCCGGCCCCTTGTCAGGTGCAGATCGCGGAGAACATCACTGACTTCAAGTTCCTGCTGCGCATGACACCTGCAAGCTTCGTGCTTGTGTCTGGGGAGGTGCAAAACCGTCGGCTTGCTCCTCGCACATGCCTGTGGTGGACACGCTCAGCTGTTTTGGAACGCGGGGACTCAAATTCACCTTTTGCTGTCCACTTCAAGCGAAGCAGTGACTGGGTGTTCTACTACAAGGGCAAGGACCAGGCTTTCGGCGTCGCGCAGCTGAAAGACTTGATCCAGGAGAAGAGCGTGGCGAGCATCCCTGGGCATGGCAGCTGGCTGCTCGGCGTGTGTTTGTGCAGTTTCTTGTGTTTGTGTGTATGTGCGTTTGTGGGAATGGTTGTGTTGGTTTCTGCTTTGCCAATGTGTATGCATCAGTCTGAGTCTGTGTGTATTGTTTCTGTTCACTTGCCCAGCTCATGAAGATCGGCAGGCGTATGTGTGTGTGTGTTGCGTGTTTGTCACTGGAAGCATTATGTCTGGACTGTTGCAGCTGACAGTTGATTGATGTACTACGAGGCCAGCGGGACAGTGCCCTCCCACTTTCAATATGGAGAAGACAACCTTGTGTCTGAAGTGCAAAGATCCCGCCGATGAGAAGATCCTTCAGACGGCCAGCAAGTGCAGCACTGTGTCTCTCATGTGGATCATGAAAGCAGCTTCTGAGCAGGACGGAACCATGTCATGCCAACAGTGGACATGAGACAATCTAATTTGCCTTTGCTGTGCATCATGCTGACTGTTTACATATTTAGTTGCCCGCAGGAGCTTGCAGTGTATGGCGTCGCCCTGGCCAACAACAAGCAGATGATTGTGATGCCGGACCGCAACGTGCTGAGCTGAAGGGATGGTGGTGACTGCGGTCCAGCAATTTTCCAGCAGAATCGTGCATATTAATGAAGAGAGACCGTTGCTTTCTAGGTGTTGAATTGAACTAGGAAACCTTAGTGAGTTAGTCGATTAGGTTTCAAGTTGTATTCCAAACTTGTTGCTTTGACTCCGTATTCTATTTTTGGACAATGTTATGATGTGCAGGTTTGATATGTGACTACCACCACTCATTGTGCTTCCAATTGCATTTCCAAGTTCTTGGGTTCATTGCAGCAGGCACTCCCTGGTGTGCAAGAGCCAGGATCGTAGTCCGATGACCAGCACATTCTAGTGTTTGGCAGATCCTTCTATTGTTCGACGTGCAGTACAGTTGCTGGTCCGCTTTCGCTGCAGCAGCTTTAGCAACACGACGTGTATCTGGCAGCCACCATTAGTGCTTGGCATCCCTTTGGCCATATGCCGTGTTTGAGCTGTCCTTCCGGCCACCCCAGTGGAAAACTCAGTCTGTGACCTGCCCAAGGTGCATTACCGGTATTAATTTTGAATTCGATGTGAAGACATGGTAAGTATGATAGTTTCGATAGGAGATTCTCCACAAGGTCACTGAGTGGATCGAAGGACAGCACAGGGAACCATGTACGTGGCTGCGTCAAGTCGGTGCCGAGAGTCAAGTCAGAGCAATTAAGGATGGGATTCCGAATCTTTATTTACTGCATGTGATGATGAATTTCAGTAAAATAAAAATATAGCACATTTTCCAGAAGCCCATCTCCAGTGAGTCAGGCAGCGAAAGCAGTAGCTTCGCAGGGGTGCTCTGCGAGATTCTCTTCAAAAAAGCTTGTATGAGCGACGTTGCATATTTCTGCGTGCAAGTCGAAGTTTGTGTCTTCGCATTTGTGGTTTAAGTTATGCGTCACGATGCAGGTTCCAGTGGCCCGCCTCATTGCACAGAGTGACGAACTCAGTGCCCACTGTCGCTGAATGAGTTTTGGCCCAACTTCCAATACAGTGTTCCTGCCCTCGTGCAGGTGCCAGAGGCAGCCTCATTTCGCAAAGTCACGATCTCAGCCGTTTTCGATGGATGCGCATGCTTCTGATACAGCTTTGTTGCTTTACTGCAGGTGTCACAGTCACAGGCAGCTTTGCCTCATTGCACTTCAATATCTCAAAGCCGTGAACTCAGTGGAGCCTCGTCCGATGGCTCTGTGCTCGTTTTCATCATAATCGGGTGAAGCACAGCCGAAGCAAAGGAAAACACCTCTTGCTATCCCGTGTCTCAAAAAGTGGATCAAGTGTCAACAGTGTCTAAGCTTGACACAAAAAACGAAATGCAGTGTCAGTGAACTTCGGACCACACATACACAAAGAGGGTGTTAGGAGTCTGATCTTCTTCGGTGGACTTCTCATGATCTAGGTCTGTTTGCTTGGGCCGTGCAGTGTAGGGTACATTACATTGCCATGACGAGCAGCCCAACGACCAGCTTGCCACCTGCTGCGTGTGACTATTATGAACCACATGACATGGAGGAGGATGCTGATGCTGTCAGTCTTGCTGCAAGCAGTGCGGCGACATCAGTCATGGAAGTTGTGGATGGAAAGGTTGAAGAGCCGGAGAGTCCGGGACCGTGCTTGGTGGTGGCTCCAGCTCAGCAGTCCATGGCAGGAGACACAAGCGACTCAGAGTCGGATGGGGAAGCTCCCTTGCAGCGTCCTGCCACAGGTGACGACAACGAGGATGATGAGGCCTGTGTCCAGAAGACTTGGCACAGGGGTGTCAATTGTGGCTCGTGGGTTGGCACTTTGGGCTCTGCATGTCTGCAAGCTCAAAGTCAAGTGCTTGTGGCAAATGTGGTGGCCAATGTGCAAGCCTGTGAGAAGAAAACAATGAAGCACGTGTTGTCGCAGATTCGACCTGGATGTTCTGTGAGTGGCCAAAAGGTGTCTTTTCCTATCTTTGCAGCCAGCCGGTTTCTTGGTCTGGGCGCGTATACCGTGCGCAATGTGTGGGAGAAGCTGCAGAGGAGCCAGTGGCAGCCCCAGTCCAGCTACGGCGGTCGACAACCGAGACGTGCCTCGAGTACTGAAGAGGTGCCTGCGACAGGTGGAGACCCTTCAGAGTCCGAAACGAGCCATGGCATTGTTCAGCGAAAATTTGATTTCTGATTCTGTGTACACTACTGCCTAAGCCCCAAACCCTAAACCCCAAAAACCCCAAACCTTAAAGCCTAAGCCCCAAACCCTAAGCCCTAACTACAAAAAACCTAAACCCTAAAGCCTAAACCCTAAACCCTTAAAACAGGCAACCCAGGCATAATAAGCAAGACTAAACAAGCCTCGTCTCGGAAGGAATGTTGAAGACGATCACGTGCCTGAGAAAGTGCGGGCCATGGAGAATGTGTGCCTGCTTGCCATTTCCTGTGCAGTTGAAGGTCAAAGTGGCTGGGCTTATGAGCGCCAAGCCGCTCGCTGGAAGGAAGCCGGCGTGCACATTGGCACCGCGTTACACAGCAGACGATTTTTCCGGGAGGTGACTCACGTGGCTTCATTAGTCCTGTCCCAGCTTGAAGGCCTCCAATGGTCTGTGCCTGTGTTAAGCACCGGGTGCCCTTCAGACTTTGCCCTCATGCTTGATCCAGTGTCTTTGGGTTCTGGCTTCAGTGCGAAGCACGAGACGGTTCTCATGGTGACTATGATGCTAGTGAACAGCACTGGAAACCTCATGGTGCCTATGTGTGCCTCCCCCACCCTTGGAATAGGTGATCACAGAGGGGATAAGTTGGTCGACCTGACTTTGAAGTGTCTGGAAGATCATCCAGGTGTCTTCGATAGAGAGACCCTGAGGGCCCGACTGAGCCTGGTGGCTGGAGATGGCGGAATCGTGGCTGGTGGAAAGCAGCACCGCCACAAATCAACAGGTGCGGCTGAGAAGCTGTGGAAACGCATCCACGGTGACTCGGAGCCACACAGCTTGAATTGCAGAAGAGTTTTGAGTTATTTTGTTGGAAACTGTAATCTGTGATAATCGACTTGCTGTCTATAAAGCCGTGCCTGTTAGCAGGTCAGCAATGGATTGTGTTGACTGGGATGCTTTTCACAGAGATGACATCAGCTTCAGCCGGGCAGTTGCGAGAACGCAGGCTGCCGCCGAGCTTTTTGCTCTTGCGAAAGATTTGGACCATCTCTTCAACTATGGCGATGGCAGGATTATTTTTCGATCCTTGCAAAAAGAGCTCGACGTGGCTAGTGGTCAGGTGCGACAGACTGGTGGAACACGAAAGGTTGGTGCCTTGTCCTTGGTGCCTGAAAGCATACTGCAGCACCTGAAAAGGATAACCGTGGGTCTACGACTTCGTTACGAGTGGCGCAAAGAGGGCCATGGTAACTTTACTTTGGATCGCCTTACTCAAATCTCAAGACGACTGCTCGATCCTGCATTTCTTACCTTCACCATGCTTATGAGTGATGTAACGCGTGGCCCGGTCCGGCACCATGCCTTGCTTGTGCAAGGTGCATTGGAGCCATGGGCTTGCAAACGTGCAGACAGTGCATATGTCGACGAACTTAGTGCCTGTTTGCGTGGCTATGAGTGGTTGGAGACGTGTGTTCAAGTCACGACCTTGCTGGCTCAGCACTGTTCTTTGGCAGAGAGAGCTTGTGCCTAGACCAATATTATGACAAAGCAAATTTAAACTTGTGAATTTGTGGGTGTGTACTGTATGTTGAAGTGGTGGCCTAACCATTGAGTCGTTCTTGTTCGTGGCATGGTTGTGTTTTGCTAAGGTTTCCTGGTTGCCTGGAGCTCTGAGAAGAAGCATCGAATGTACACAGGGACTTTTTTGAAGTTCGCTGCCAAAATTCTGCTTCAGATACCACCTTCTGTGGCTGATGTGGAGCTTGCGGTGGAGTTGCCTGAGCAGTACACCAAAGGCCGTGCCGCAGGACCCCATTGCCAGTGCCCTGGAGAATTGCTTTCCTTGAAGAGCCGGGGCAAGGTCCCTTCTGTGAGACTTTGCAACTGGACAGTGCATGAAAAGCGAAAGTGTGGTCGCAAGTGCAGCAAGCTGTGCGGGAAGGTCCTTCGAGTGCCTTTTTGGGTAGCCCAGTCCTCCAACACGAAAGATGGTGCTTTGACAGAGAACGTGCCTCGTTATCAAACTATTCCCAAAGTACCGCCTGGCCGGTCAAGACCGGGCTTGCTGCGGGCTCGCTTGGTGACACATTCCCTGTCTCCGGAGGCGAAGCTGCACAAAATGAACAGCGGTGGATGCAAATGCCCTTGTGCCTGGACTTCACGTTGCCAGGTTACTCTGTTTGCAAACAGCAGGCCAACACAAATATCGAAAATTTAATGCACTAGTTCACAACTGCAATCTTCATCTGTGGGAGTGCTGGAACTGTGTGAATTGAGTTTTATTGATTTACAAGTGGTTTCTCTTTGCACTTCAGATTAAGGTTAGGAATGTCTGGGCTCAGATGATACTGTCGCATCGACACCCGAGGTTCCGACAGCCATGTACCATTATGTCCTCAAAGTACTTGATGGAATCCGTCTGGCAAGAGGATTTGTTGAACGCTTGCAGAATGAATTTCAGGAAATTATTGGCACCGTGGGTGTTAATGACGAGATGATGTTGCTGGTGGAGAAGATGCAATCTTGCTTCGCATGGCAGCGATTGGTGACTTCACCTCCATCCCAGACGGATTGTGAAAGCTTCCTGACTGTTTGGCAACTGCTGGAGCCATTTTTGGCTAAGTGTCTGTGGCCTGATCCGCAGGCATATCCGTTGCGTAGCTTGAGCTGGGATTTGGCGGTTAAAGAGAAGGACCGTCAGTATAGACTGTTCTGCAAGCGAGTGCGGCTAATTGCTGCTGCGTCCCAGGGAACAGAAATCAGCTCGGCAGTGCCTGAAGACGTGGCTGCAGAAGCAGCTGGATGGTGGGAGACATCAACATATGTCGTGCGTCCAGTGTGGGTGCTAGGTTGGGTCAAGATGTTCCTTCTGAAGATGCTGCCCCCCAACACGATCAGAAAGATTCAGTGGGACATTACAGACCGAGTGTCTCGATTTTTGCTGGGTGACATGCTGCCGGCTGCTGCTTGGTCCAGGCATGAAGTTCCGGTGCCTGAGGTATTGGAAGCCTTCAAGTATGGGAGAAGAAAGAGAAAGAAGACGATGACTCGGTCTTCAGGTGGCTTGCGGAGTTGGAAGGGGAAGGTGGTGCGAATTGTTGACATGCTGCGTCGAATACGACCGGAACGTGTGTCTGCTACCATTGATTCTCATCCGTGCCTGATCTGAAGCTGCCTTTGTCAAACGTTACTTGTTATTGTTTGTGGGGGGATTCAGTCAGATGTCGGTCTTCATTTCCGATGAGTGAAGCCTGCCAAGCTAAGGTACTTCGCTGTTGGTTTCGTGCCTGAAGACGGTGCCCCCCTTGCTCGAGCTTCTGCGTGGCATGCCGTCAGACTTCACCACAGATGCCGCCTCCTCCGTGGGCCAGAAGCCGCGTGCGAGCGCTTGGGGTCATTTGCCCACCAGCAATGGAGGGCACAGCAGCACTTGTCGCCACAAAACTTGATGGATCGTGTTCATCTTCAGAGTGCCGGCGTCAAGTGTCTCGGGAGTGAAAGGGACCGATTATTGGTGTCTCAGGTGTCTGAGTTCCTGTGCGAAATGAGCAGATTTTGTTTGTTCAGTGGGAGTGCATGATTTGAACATAGTGCCGGGCATTAGTTCTGATTCAACATTGTCCAAGCTCAGGCTGTTGCTGAGCGCAAAGATGTCTCCGCTTCACCTTCGACCTGTGACTGCCCAAATCCAGTCCCACTTGGAACTCCTATCAGCATCTTTAGTACCATTTTAAGTTGCTGGCAGAAGTTCTACGATGGCTGTGATTCACTGTGACTGCAGTGCAGTTGAACATTTTTTGCATAAGGATGGCATGACTGAAAGTGGCCACGATGCGGAGCTCTTCAACATCCTGCAGGTGAATGGGCTTGAAGTTGGAGATGTGTCTGTGTGCCGGATTCGCAGCAGAGTGGCTGACGCAACTGCCAAATCACTTCCGTCGACGTTACCGCCTGAGCTTTCGACAGTGCTGCCGCAAGCCTTAACGGCACAAGGACTGCAGTGCCTGCATGTTGTCTGTGACTGTGGCAGTGACTGGGTCTTGTTGGTGTCTTTTGCTGGTGCCTCGTGCTGGTGCCTCGTGCAGGACAAGCTCAAGCTTTGGCAGTGTCTGCGGGCCTTCAGCGACTCCGGCACAGACAACCGGCTTCATCGACATTGCGTGATGCTCTGCAGTCGCCTCTCGACTCCGAATCATGATATAATTGCAATGGTGTTGTTTAAATAGGCAAAGGGGAAACAAGGGTCTAGAGTTTAGGGTTAATTACTAATTTCAGTCAGGTACATGGACACTGACGCTGGCAAGAAGTGGCAGCAGGAAAGGGACTGGGACATCAAAGGAGATTGAATTGTGGCTAACTGATACTGATGTTCTAAGCACCGCTGGTCTGAGGAATGTTGTGGCTAAGTGATTGTACAGTGCCTGAAGAATCACTGTCTTGGTTCATAATATGCTCAGCAGTCCAGCCAGTCCAATCTTCTCAGATGATGTCGCTGTCATGCAGCGCACCGTTGAGACCGCTGCACTAGGGATTGGGTCTTCAAAGAGGATTGACTTGTGGCTGACTGATGATCTAAGCACTGCTGGTCTGAGGAATGTTGTGTCTAAGTGATTGTACAGTGCCTCAAGAATCATTGTATAATATGCTCAGCAGTCCAGTCCAGTCCAATCTTCTCAGATGTCCCTGACACACAGTGCACCGTTGAGACCGATGCCCTCGCAAGAAAGAAATGCTTCGGGGAATCAAGTCACTGCAATGCTGATTTCAGTATTTACGCATCACTTGTCCAAGCGAAAGTTTATCCTGATCAGGTTTACCTTGGTGCTGGTAACTCGATCGGTGAGTGCCTCAGCTCAGGGTTCCCAACGACTGAGCGTGTGCCACTGAGTCGGGGCCGAACAGGTGTCTTGTAGACGAGCCAACCACGGCGATGCTGTCACATGGAATGGCGAGAGTCTCAGCATCAAACGACACATATCCATTTCCAGTTAAGCTACTACTACTTCCGGGTGTTATCATTGAAGTTGAAGTGTTTCCTTTGTGAAAGTCAGCATCATGATGATGCTTGAATGTGCCACGGACGGGACATGGCAAGAGTCTGCCTGTCAGGTCGGGCGAATTCCATTATAATATAATCGGCGAAGGCTGCAAGATATTTCTCTTTCTTGTCTCGTTGATAGATGACATATACCCAGATTTCCTTGAAAAGGGAGCAGCAGCTGCGAGCGATAATTGTGCAGGCTGACACCGGCAACCTTCCTTTGAGTGACTGAAGTAGACTTTTTTTGCCTGTGTTCATGTCGTTCCCATTACATTAATTAAGATGTGTCCGAGGCTCATGGCATGGTGTGGGAAGGAGTCCAAGCCTGCGAGTCGACCGGTCACCGACCCAGCATGTGCTGTGTTTGTGTGTGCATTCGTCGCAATCTTCCAACTGTGAGTGAGGTGCTGTCCATTGATTGATTGATCGACTCACACATGATTTGGACACCTCCGATATTTGACCGAAGCTGTGACTGTTTCAGTGCCTGTTCTGTTCTGAAGACATGGCGGTAGCAACTCGTGCCGGCGTGTATGAATGGCGTCATGGCGCTCGACAAGAAACCTTGTTCCTGTTCGATAACTGGCGAACGGGCTTCAAGCGCCGAACTCGTGGCTGCGCCGGGATTTAGTTTGATTTTTGAGTGTAGTGTAAGAAGTTAGAGCATGCTGACTGCTGATGTTTCGGTGTGTTTCCTGTCTGATCTTCCAGCGTTTGCTTGCAACTATGCTCACTTGCATCCAAGGTACCGGTCGCGTGGCTTACGGTATGCAGGGTACGTGGTGCCTGGCTGCCGATGGCCGTGACATCTTGCTTCGTGACTTCGCTTGTTGCTCTGACGTCGGCGTGCGGAGACACGAGATTTGTTTGCGGCAGGACAGTGACTGTCATGGCCACTTCACTGACGGCATCCGCAAAGTGTCTTTCGTTGGTGTCATCACACTGAGCTCACCGAGTGCATTGCCGACAAGCGTGCCTGAGGGCTGGGTTCTCATCGAGGAGAGGAACTTTCAGCAGTGATTCAGTGACTGCAGCAATTTTGTTTCACAGCGCGTTCAAAGGGCCTTTGAGAGTTTGTCTGATTTTAAATAGGACATCACTTGTGCCTGGTTCAGTCTGTGCAAGTGCACGTGTGTGTGTGTGTGTGCATGTGTCCCTTTGCGATGCTACAGCTTCCGTGAAGCCATGTTCAAGCAGTCCATGTCTGGTCACAGTGACTTTCTGTTGCTGTGCCATTGTACACGAATCGACTGGACCACATGGCTCAGTAGTAGCAATAGTGGCCATGTCTGGTCACACTGAGTTCCGTTGCTGTCATTGTACACGAATCGACTGGACCACACGGCTCCGTAGTAGTCGCTGTGGTGCTAATATGGCGGACGAGTTTAACTCTGATGTGTAGTTGTTGGCCGTGCGACCAAAATGTGCGTGCGTTCCCAGATTCTGACATCGTGTCTCATAAACTGTGTGTCGCTCATGCCGCGCCTGCTTGCCCCCAGTGGCCCAGGTCTCAGAGTGTCAACATCTTGCAAGAGGCTGGTCCGTGAGCTTGTCTTTACACAGCAAAAGGTGCGGTACAGCGCATTTGCTGCATGCTGGGTCTGGAAAATCATGCACATTCAATATTTTGATTAGCCGGCAGCCAAGAATAATCAATCCGCCGCTGGTTGAACTGTAACACGTGACGTGTGATTCGAGTTATCCTGAATCTGCCTGCTGCAAGGTCTTAGTGCCTGTACGTGCTGAAAACTGAGTCTGGAGGAAAGGAGGCCTGTGACTGTGTGGCTTTGCATGCGCTGCTAGCAGAGTGTTTGCTGCCAGGTGGTTGTTCATGGTAATAGGTTCCGGTGTCTAGTACACTGCATGTGCTTCGTGCTAGGTGTGGAATCTCTTGCCAATGTGCATACTAATGGCGAATGTTTGCCTCAGTTCCTCGGGAGTCGTCGTGCCTAGCTTCAGTCGTGGAATCGTGCCATTCTGATTCTGAGTCCTGTGACGTGAATAAAAATATCTGTGCAGTCCAATATTTGCCCTTACTTACTTGCGACAGCGACTTCAGGAAATAAAGGAATTGTTGTGAAGAGTTCGTCTGAGAACTGACCTACGCCGAGAGCTTGTAGTGCGGCAGGCGAGGCTTTACAAGGGCTTGAGGCTTTAGTACAGTTTGGCCTGGACATCTTTCAATTCCGTGTTGGTGTCTTGCAGTCTCTTGCGTTCAAGAAAGCTGTGCACTTGACTTGTGACTTAGAGTTCGGATCTGGGAGGACCGTTCGTTGTAAGTGGGCGTTGTGGCTCGCACTCGCAAAAGCCTAGTCACTGGCCGACACAAACTTTGTGTCTGTGAAAAACTCTGACTGGCAAAAGTGCCTAAGCCATGCCAATGCCAATGGACCCGGACTCCCAGAAGGTCTTTCGAAAGCTTGCGAAATTGCTGTCGGAGCGACAAGCCAACTATGTCCTGCAGATGTGGCTGAGATTGTACTACGACCAGTGTGTGCACCTCAATATACTAAATCAGAAATTCTTTTGCTTACTGCGATTCGTCCCAAAGCCCTGTGACTGTAATAAATATTAATGACCAAAGTCCAGCTAGCTGTCATCCAAGGGAAGACTGCCTGGGCGACTACCTAGAGTTCCGCATGTATTGGATCGAAGAGTCTCTCAACAACGAGGTGCACACCGAGTTGGCGAAAAGAAGCAGGTTGCTCGAGCTCAAGATCTTGAGGAAGATCGTCACCGTGAGATAGTGACTCAGCGACTTAGTGACTGAGTGGCGGAATGACTTCGGAGCCGGACCGAGGCCGAGGCTTTTTACAAACACAGTGTGTTTTCACCGTGTTTGCGCAAGTAATTTGTATACGAGTAGGAAGTGACAAAGTGGTTGCACAGAATCAGAATGCAACCCAGTCAGCAGCCGGCAGTGCGGCAGTGAACATATTTATCTCAGTGCTTACTGAGCACTGAGGTAAGCATGGGCCTGGGCCATGTGACTCTATGCTAGTTACATATGTATTTAATTTATATGTATATATATATATATGTATGTACATATTTCCACTCCTGTGTCGATTCGAGGAGCCTGAATTTGCCTGCGGTGCCGTGCTGTCCTAATTCAGTTTATCGGCAGCAGTGTGTCTATGTGGGAATGAAACAGTGCTTGCTCATATAATGACTAAGTCTTTATTTGACCGCTACTGCCCACAAGTCGGGACTGCTGATGCTAACAGAGTGCACAACTCGACCTGCCTTCAACAGCAGCTAGCAGTGGAAAGTGTGTGTGCCTGTCAGTGCATAGCCTCGGTTAGAGAGTTCTTTGTTTTGGCCTTGAGCATATGTTATGTCGCCAGGTCTGAGCTCCTGGACTCTGGACTTGACTTGCCACACATTGAGAAGGCCCGCTGTGTAGAATAGAAGGGCATTGATTCATTGACTTCCTGCTCATCCAGGTTGCTTGGTGTGACGATGTCTGAGCTGCCACTTCGGGCGGCCAGTACGGGCCTTGCCTGGTGCCTGATTGATTTGTGCTTCATCATTTATTAATTGAGTTCTCGTCAGGTGCAGTTTGCTTGAATGAATCATCCAAGCAGGCTGCACATGACTGAGGGTATGTCGATCTTGATAGAGTCATTGTTTCACAATCTCGTCAGCTTAGTGTGACGATGTCTCAGCTGTCGCTGCCAGTGCCTGATTGATGTGTGCTTCGTAAATCAGTGTCAACTTTGAGCAGGCATGGAGGGTGCCTATTGGGATCCAATAGGCCCCCTCCATGCGTGCTCAAAGGCGCAGTTTGCTTGAATGAATCATCCAAGCAGGCTGCACATCTGGTCGTGCCTGATTGTCGTTGAAAATAAGAAGCAGTCAGCCTGCTTGAATGATTTGTTGCCGGTAGCAGTCTGCACGTGTGCCTCAGAACCGTCTTGGCGAATGAAAAAGTGTCCTCTCGATCTCGACTGCAAGCTTGGCTTCCCTTTGTGTTGACTGTCCCCCAGTAAATCCCTCTATACGAAAGCTGTGTTAAAGCCACCACGCCCCAGTCTGCAGCAAGCATGGGTGGCGTTTTGCTAATGCCCTGACCCGTCTAAATTAAGCTAGATTTCTGAACTGCAAACAGTGCGCGGCCACACTTGTAGATGCAATAGTTCGTCGCAGCCGCAAGTGTTTAGGAGTGCATGGAGAGCCGCTAAACATGCCAAGTCCAGCGTGACGCAGGGCGGGGCAGCTAATGGTTCGATCTTCAATCCAAGCATAACGTGCACAAATCTAGTTAGTACCAAATCCAACTTTACTACTTTCATTGTCCATGCT